CTTCCGTGAAATTTTGTTTACTAAATTGTTTCAAATTGCATCACAATTGAATTAGAATTTCTGCAAAATTTTTGAAAAATTTCTGTATGTACTGCGTCAGATTCACATTTTCTCTAGCAATATTTCTGCGTCAAATAGAAAATTTTGAGAAAAATGTCTCTTAGTACTTTTTGGCGGTTAGGGCTAGGGATGGGCACCGTTTTCAAAACGCAGTCACGGGTTGTTATTCAGTTTTTAAACCATTAAAAAAAAAATGGATCAAAAACCTGATCGATTCTTCTTCTTCTCTTTATTGGCGCGGTAACGCGACTGACGCCAATTGGAAATGCCAAGTGAGGCCACGTCCTTTTCCGCCTGGTCTCTCCAACGCAGAGGAGGCCTTCCTTTTCCTCTGTTACCAGCGTCGCGGCCCGAGCTAAATACTTTCAGAGCAGGAGCGTTCTGTCCATTCGAACGACATGGCCAAACGAGCGAAGCCACTGAATTTTAATTCGCTGCACTATGTCTATATCGTTGTAAAGCTCATACAGCTCATCGTTAAGTCGTCTGCGGTAGTCGCCGTCGCCAACGCATAGAGGCCTGTAAAATATTTTGCTGACATAATTATTGGTGTTAACTATCGATAGTATCGATGGTTTTTGACTATCGAAAACATCGATGGTTTTGTAAGCACTATCAATAGTTTTCACTCATGCATATATTATTCAGTAAGAGTAAAAGCCGGTGGTACTTGCTTCATCTTGTGAGTCGGAAGGGACGTTTAGCAAAGCAGGGCAAATAATTTTAGAGCACAGATGCTGCTTGAAGCCAAAAATCGTTAATAAATCATAAGTGTGGAAAAATTTTATCTATTCTGATCTCATTTTCAATCAAAGTTTTTATGTCTAATTTTTGGAATTTTTTAATCAAAACTATCGATAGTACGGCCACGGCCATCGATAGTTTTCCAGCTTTAGTGTTAATGCTGGTTCCCAAATAAAAAAAACTCAGAGCGTGTAGTCCCTACGCGCGAAAGAAGTGAAACTTAATAGAGGAAATGCCAGAAAGAAAGAAATGTGCGATATACATACACATGTACATATTTTCTAACACACAAAAAACATATTTTTTTTTTAACGACCTTTAATTTTTTTTTTTTTATAACCAACTGAAACGCTTAATTATTATTTGTGGCTGAGAAAACATCCATATCTACAGTATTAACTAGTAGATTGTGGTAACTAAAGAAAGATATGAAACGTTTTATTTCAATATTTTTAATATTTCTGGAAAAACCCGCATCAATGGTAGCCGCTCCTTAGGTTGTTGGGTCATTTCTACTATTAACCATTTCCAGTAAAAATTTGTCTTTAAAAAATTTAGTCAGTTCATCAGATTTAGCCAGCGAAACGCTGACGTTGATCTCCTGCGAGAATTACAGGTAGATCATAACAGTCTACTTATCTTTATCTTCATCTTAATCATTTATCTTCTTCTTCATCTCCATCATCATCTTCATCTTCATCTTCATCTTCATCTTCATCTTCATCTTCATCTTCATCTTCATCTTCATCTTATCTTTATATTTGTTTTTGATTATATTCTTGTCTTTGCATTAGTCTTTTCCCGCCCAATTGGCGTTTAACGCAGCTATTCGTTTTTTATACCCGTCATATGCTACCCGTACCGTGACGTTAAATATTTATCGCAAACATAACGGAACTATAATAATAAGATTTGCTTCAATACAGGTGGCCACCCTCTTCAGGCACCTCAAAAATATTTTAATTGTGTTTCTGTAAGCTCTTTCTGTACTGTATAGTATTTTAAGCGTAAGACTTTTATATAATTTAACTAAATTTTACTTTTGAAACAGGTGGCAACCCTCCTACATTTAGCTAGAAAATACAACTTATTCAAAACCATTTCTTTTGATACCCATATTGGGATAATTCGTTTAACTTAATAAATAATTTGAATTTGATTTTCGTATATATGGCAACCCTTTAAAAGACTAAAACCATACTGCACATCTGCAGGTCAAGCCCTTTCATGTGACACCTCATTTTTGAAAATCGTATGAACGATACAGATTTTATGACGTGGTGTTAAATATTTAACGCAACCCTCTGCGGCAGAGAAATTTTGAATTCGATTTTCTAACATGTGGCAACTCCTTTCATGGAACTAAGGCTATGGTGTACACCCGAAGGACAATGCCTTTTATGTGACACCTCATTTTTAAAAATCGAACGAACGATACAAAGTTTATGGCTTGGTGTTAAATATTTAACGCAACCATCTCCGAACTCGATTAAGAAGTTTCACTTCAATAAATTCGTCTACTTTTGCAAACTTGTAACTGTCAATAGTGACGTGTTTGCCAAAACGCGTATGCTCCGACTGTTTGTGTGATGACAGGAGATACTTCGTCTTGTCCTCAGACCCAATCGCTTTGCTTTCTTATCCAACTTGGAAAAGACAACACAGTATTCGCAGTTCTTGTTACCGATGATGTCGATGTCATCGACGTACGCCAGCAATTGCACGCTCTTGTAATAAATTGTTCCTGTGCGGTTCATTTCTGCAGCTCTTTTTGTCTTCTCTAGCATAAGGTTAAAGAAATTACAGGAAAGGGAGTCGCTCGGAGAGATCTTTCCCAATTCTGACGGAGCTGGTGGTATTGCTCAACGTTGGGATGCCAAATTCAGACATCGCGGCGTATAGGCAACTCCTTTTAGTGCTGTCGAAAGCGGCTTCGAAGTCGACAAATAGGTGGTGAGTGTCCACCCTGTTCGCGCGGGTCCTTTTCAAGATTTGGCGTATTGTGAATACCTGATCTATGGTGGATTTGCCAGGTCTAAACGCACACTGATAAGGCTAAATCAGTTCGTTGACGGTGGGCTTCAGTCTTATATAGTAATATATTTTTAACTTCAACATTGAGTGTACGGTGATTTTTTTTAATATTTCCAATAATTTTCATGGTAAATATTTTTAGTACATTTTTTATCAAAATATGGCTTATGCTTTAGAACGAAAAACACCTGAATTAAAAAAAAAATACTGAAAGAGATCATTAATCAAATTTAAAAAAACGGCTTTGGAAACACCGATCTTATTTGAACATCCCTCGCTAGGGCTTGATATTCGAATATGTCTAAACCTAAATGTGCAATTATTTTATAGTACACGACTTTTAGAAGAGACATTTTAGCAATCTTTCTCAATATACCTTTCGTTTAATTAATGTTTTTCTTATGAAAGTTTAGCTCGTTATCTAAAAAAACCATGTAAGTCAAAAATTCAAACTTTGTACAAAAATGAGCAAACTTCGTCAAAGTTTCTTCAATATTTTGAGCTGTTTAATTATATTTCTTAAAAACATACGGAGTATGAAGTTTTGTATCCCATTTAAGTATAACAAAGTGCTAATTTGAAGTAGCTGGGACGTGCCGTTGATTTAAAAAAATATTCCGACGAATTGATAACCTCCTCCTTTTTTGAAGTCGTTAAAAAATCATTAAATAAAGATCTAAACATTGTAGAACATTTATAAAAATTCAGACGAACAAAACATTAACGGTACTCCTGAAATTTTTATATGAGAATGTGTCGGTTTTGATTTTTTGTTAAAAATTACTGGTTAGATAGTTAGATAAACTATATTTTCCTTAAAAAATACGAAACAATAAACTTTCTTTAAACTAAAAAAATACCCAAAACTTGCTAATATATATCTCTTCCGCTATTTACTTTCTCGCCACGTATAAGCAAACTATGGCATTACGCTTGACTGGGGAATTAATTAAAAACTGGCATCAAGTTGATGCGTCAACCGATTACATATATGTACGTGATGATGATTTGCTACTATTGTGCACGCATAGCATTTCGTCGGTGATACTGCAAAACGTCCTATGTCAATTTTACCGGCGATTGTACGATTATTTATTTTACTTTTGTCTCTTGTCGTGGCTTATGAAGAATTGAGAGAAACAAAAAGCCAAGCTTAATTGAGATCAATCAAAATTTGTTAGATTTATTATGTAACCTACGCTGGTAAAAAGATATGTTTTAACCCGTAAATAAATTTCTTCTCAATTTTGAGCCCTTTTTTATTCTGTGCACTCTTATAACGGGTAAATTTTGTTAACTTCTTATAAACTAGTGAAAAAATATTGCCTGTAGAACAGGCAATACCAAAATTTCTGCAAAACTTCATACATAGCTGAATTGCGGATTATATTGACAACAAGATGTGGTAAAAATGTTTGGTAATAAAAATTTGACGGTTACAAAATCGTCGGTAAATGGCAGAATTATTTTTCCAACAGAGTCGTTTTATGTTTTTCCATGCTAGCGATTTGAAGTTTTTGAACAGAAAAATTAGTTATTTATTAAAAAAAAAAATATTTTTTTATCAAATTTTTTAAACGATTGTAAGAAAATTGTATTCAAACTGTACAATGGCAGTATCTATACAAGGTGGTGTTACTAGAGCAGCTGATTTGACATTTTATCTCTAAACTAGTACACTAGAATGTCAATCAAGACGGAACGAGCGTGGACTCTAGGATGTCAACAAAACGAATTAACGAAAATTATCTCCTATTTTCTTTCGTTTTGACATACCTAAGTATCAAAAAGCAATAACAAAATATATGGGATTTTTACTTATACCACCTTATATGAATGCGCCTTGGGTACTTGCTATTATTTGTTAGTTTGCCAAAATCCCCGATTAAATGTTAAAATGACAATACAAATGTTTGTGTTATGCTTCCGAAATATGAAAAAGCGTCTATGAAGTGCAGAATAAATGCGTAATCAAACAAAAAAAAATCTGTTTAAAGTAAACAAAACAACGCTTGGCGCAAATCATTTGTGTTTTAAGTTGAAGTTGAGTTACAAAAAATTACAAATACTTGGCATACTTTTTAGAACTTTCCATAGTTATATTCTACATTTACATATACATACATCAATATATTGATTAATATTTCATGTTTACTTTTTAGTTATGCTGCCCCAACTAAGATGGATTTTTACAATCAAACACCAACACATGCTCATTGAAATACCGTCATGCACTCAAATTGTGACAAAAAGCGACAAATTGTAAATGCAGATACTAAAAATCTCAAAGAGATTACTTTAAACGTTTTTAAAAGCCAATTGTGATAAACAAAAAACCAAAAAGTGCGAGAAAATGACAGTAACCTACACGGCGGAGGTAGCAACCTGTAGAGGCTTTGGCTGCTTTCTGAAATTGCTGCGAAGGTAAGTGAATCATATGTATTTTGCAATATTTCTAAAGTAAGTGTGAATTATCTTTAGATATGTATGCTTATAGCATGTTGTAGACATAAGGCGAAAATTAAAACATTTAGCACTGCAGATGAATACAAACATACAAATGTATATAAATAGTATGTATATAGACCCATATAGATAAGCGCACATATATCTGGTGTTCACTTGCAGACGCGAAACCAGCTGACACAAAATGAAATTAGACAAAAAAACCCACAGGGAAAATGCCTTTTATTTTTTTCTAAGAACGAAACCGCTTATGTGCTGACTGCGCCAATCAAGAAGAGAAGAGCAAAATGCTCAGAATCCTGCATTTATAACGGGTGGTCCATATAGTGTTTAATTTAAATCATAGGTGCGTTCGTTTAAAATCTCCAACAGAAACCAACCAGCTGCCAAATTCCGGCGAAATGTCATCTGTTCTCTCACAAGAGAGAAATATCCAAAATAGTACGCGAACAGAAAATTTGCAGAAACTTGCAAGTTAGACGAACAGCTGATATAATTTTTGTTTACATTCAAAAGTGTAAAATTTAAAACGTACGAAAATTCATTACAACGTGGTATCCTGGCACAGTTTATTGATTAAACAAATAACTACTTACTTCTTACAAGTTTAATTAGTCGCATTTTGTAATTTTTAACTTCCAAACCATCAAATTCAATTTTGTGATTTGCGTAAATGCCCACCAGCTGTTTTTGATCAGCTGTTTTCCTGTTGGCAAATTGCTGTTGGCAAAAATTTTTCCAGCAGAAACCAGCAGCTTCCCCTCAAAATGAAATGTCACTTTGCTCTCTCAATTTCCCCTACTTTGCAAGTTTTTTGCGTACGCGAACGCAAAAACTTGTAAGTTTTGGGTAAACATGAACAATTAACAGCTACGCGAACGAACGTCATATCGCACACCTAGATCTAAAGTGCGATTAACTTGAAAAAAATTTGGGGAAATCTTTTTCGCTTAAATCAATTTATAGGACTTACTACGTCCAACTAATGGATTTTTTCATGATTATATACATTAACTAAAAACTACTGCTATACCTGTATTTGTCTTAATTGTTTTGAATCTGAACGATCCACAAGCAAGTAAATTTCCCTCTATGAATTTTGAGATAGGTCACTTTAGATCTAGGTGATGCTATTTTGACAGAAAGTCAGTAGTATATCTCCGCGGGACAAAAAGAATCGCTCTACGCTTGAACAACGGCGGGAAATAATGCAAACGAAATAGAAAAAAGATTTTGCTCGAAAATCACATTTTCTGACGAAGCGCATTTTCATCTCGGCGGTTATGTTAACAGGTAAAACTGCCGCATCTGGGAAACGGAAATCTCGTAGGGTCCAATGTATGCTTAGAGAATGACAGTTTGGAGCGATGATATCATTGTGGTCGGAAATTGACAACAGCGCTAATCGTGTTATTAGCCGTCTCGCCTACGTTAATTGTCCAGCTCGGAGCTGCTATTTGACGCGGTTAGAATTCTTTTGGTGGGATGCCGTGAAGGACCCATATTATTCGAACAATCCATTAAAGATTCAAAGAGCCAGAAACTGTCGCCAAGGTCTTAGTAAAACTGGGCTAATAGGATGCGCTACTGCTAATGCAGCCGAGGCAGTCACATGAATGAAATTGAGTACCATAAATAATGGGAATATTTGATATTTAGAATAAACGATCGCTAAAATTACTCAAAAATAACCCCAAGATACGTAAACTTAATTTTGAGTCGAAGATTACGGACCTGTATATCGTTTTTCTAGATCAGGTAATTTTCCCATGATATTTTAATTTTAAGTTTGCATTGCGAATGGACAATAATTAAAATTTTAATATGGGAAATATTACTCATACGCCATGTACGTGTTTGTACATAAATAGCCATGGGCAATATGGCGTATGAGTAATATTATTTCCTGTTTCTTTTTCATACCAAAAATTATTACACTCAGCTCATACATATCACATTAGATTGGTCCAATTTTCCGAAATAGGGTTTGGGCACCTTCCAAAATTTTTTATCTTGCCGGGAGAGGTGCTGGTAGCAAACCTTACGTTTTCAGGTATAAACTTAATGGATGGTCATAATGCTCAGTTTTTACTCTAGAAGTATTGGGTATATACATTAATCAAACAATTGGTTAAGTAACCTAAGAACATTTCAAATTTAAATTATCCAGTAGCGCATTTCAAGGTTATTAAGCACCCTGTATTGGTTGCAGTAGGAAACTGAAAGTTGTTATAGATATTACAAATACCAGCAGGAAAAATCTAAGGAAGGTGCACCGTTTTCTCGGATGACTTTTTTTCATCCATACAAAAATTTGTACCACTCTAATCTACATACATATGTATAAACAACCAAAAATACTTACGAATTTGGTCGAGTGGTAAGAGGTGGACCCTACAAATTAATAGGTCCAAGTTCCGATACCTAGTCGAAGTATGTTATGTTAGGTTGTGGCGGTCATCTACAAGACTCTCTTAGACTCCAGTCTCATTGTGATGCCGCATGTGGGGTCAGCCACTCCCAATCCCTCCTAACCCCCTTTTGATTCTCGCAAACATTTTAGAAAATCCCTGGCAAATTGGCATGCCTGCCAATTAGGCAGTATTTCTGCCATTAAAAACAGCTTCTCATAAAAATACAATCGCCGCTCGGAGTCGGCGTAAAACTGTATGTTCCTCCCCCTTGTGTGACAACATCAAGGCGCTCGCCACAAATTGCAGGAGAAGCTAGGCTCCGTATTGCCTATTTCATCGTTTATATCATCAATAAAAAGTTTTATGCCCAAGTCACGCCAGTTCATCGGCCTTGCAATTGCCCTCAATGTTGCAGTTTCCTAGAACCGATATCACCTTTGGCGAAATGATTCAGACATCTCGTTAAGAAATGTTCGGCATTTCGTGGCTGCCATGGAGGTTGTCGACTGCTATCAATTCCGCCGAAGTTTTTTTCCAATAGCTTTTACCTCAATTCCTCTCTCAACTCGTTTCCCTTTTACCGAATCACACCTATTATGTACACATTATTCTCATTTGTCGCGATCATGCTACTCTAATTACAATGTATATTATGACTTTGAACCTGCGATTTTATTTGACATTTGTTTATTTAATGTACACACATACATATGTACATATGTATGTAGGCATGGTTATTTATAGATACTATTGCCAGTAAGCTAAATCTGTATGAGCATGTCGTTATTATGAATTTGAATGCTTGCAACTGATAAATAAGATATACATACATATATTGACATTAATAAATAGTCTGTCACGGTGAGCAGTATCACCTAATATGAGTTATATTATTATACATCTGTCATCTACATCCAAACTTGCTGAAGTACATAGGTACTTATTTTTGTTGTTTATTACCATTTGGGTAAAATTATGAGTACATACACTTAGTATTAACTTCCATGCGATAAGGCCGATGAGATGTGCAAACATTTATTAATGTTTACACAGCTATTAAGGTTATACTTTTTTGTATTCTTTCTAGAAAGGTGCTAATTAAATTCACAGAATGTGGCAATTGCTTTTTTAAACTTTTTGTTTTTGTTTTTTTTTTACATTTGCACATGAGTAAGATATAAGCATTTGCATTCTTACAAATAAATCACTTATTGATATTAAGCGAAAAGAACTAAACCAAATATTATCCAGCCATTCAACATAAAAATATATATTTCGTTCCTAACGAAAATATTTGCACAATGTGGTATGTATGTATTTTTTTTTCGAATATGACGTCTGCCATCAAAGAGTACCCAGCTTCGATGAAAATATATAAGCCCTTAGCACACTCTCATGTCTTTGTTTGCTTACATTTGCAAATTATATACATCTTTGTCGTCATAGTTTTGAGAAATATTGTTATATCGCTGTTTAGCGTTTTCCAAATTAATGACCAGGATTGTGTTTATTCACTAACAGTCAACATCCCGAAAGGAATTTTAGTGAGAAATGATTTTAGTTTTTTTATGTGAAAATTTACAGAAAATAAAAAAATTATTTTCCATTTAAATTGCTGATGAAAGCGGCTTTAAGCGGTACTTAGATAAAAAAAATGTTACACTTCTCTTTATAAGATATTGATGGTTAAAATATACATACATAAATGAAGATACTGGAATCGTTATTTTGGAACCATGTATGCGCTCTAAAAGAATAAACTGACACTAATTTTTTTGTATACAAGGCCTTAGAAAAACGTTTTTAATTAATTTTTTGTTTCTTTGTGTAAGTAAATAAAAATTTTTGGGATTAAGAAAGTATAACTTTTCTGGTATTATCTGGTATGTATTTTTTGCTTTTAGCAGACCTATTCTGCTTGTTACTGAGCATTTTGGCATCGGAAAATTTTCCAAATAATAACACCACTTCTTGTAACCGCAATTCTAAGTACCTTGGTAACAATTTAATCTATTCGACAATCCAGCTATGAAGGTTTGTATAAATTCTTTTGTTGCATACTTCACGGGCCAATATTTTGTTACCTGATTATGAGATGGTAACAAAATTTAGCAGTGCGCAGAATGCGAAAAGGGTTTAAAAATTACCAGGAACTTTATTTACCGGTAACAAAATTTTTGTTACCAACGTAGAATAGGCCTGTATATATAGGAAGCATTCAACAGCAGCAAGAGTACTTAATCGCCCGTACAACGATACCAAATGCTTAAGACTCGGTTAGGATTTTTTTTGTAAAAATTTTTTTCTTTTATAAAAAAGGTATTTTTTTCTTTTTAAATGTTTTTTCTCAAATTTTCATATACGAAGTATACAAACACGCATATCAGAAGAAAGAAAGCTTGATTGCGCTTACAACGATACCAACTTTTTAAAAATCGATTTGTAATTTTTTTGTTTAAAATATTTGTTTNATGAGATGGTAACAAAATTTAGCAGGGCGCAGAATGCGAACGTTTACGTTTACAACGATACCAACTTTTTAAA